TGTTTTAGCATAAAGAAATTGGAGGTTACTATGTTCAGTTATGTGAGTCAAAAAAAGAAAAAAAATAATAAAAAAAAAAAAGAAATTGGAGGTTTCATAGAGACAAGTGTATGGATGATTTCTTTGTGATATTTTTTCCTGTTTCTAATTAATAACAAATAGCCTTCCACCTGGAGATTTATAAATATTTTAAAATTCTTCTGCTGGTTTTATAACTTCCTCATTAATGTTATCTTTTTAGATTTACTATGTTGGTATATCACATGAAATGAGTGTTAAATTGGACTGTTTTCCAAACTTCCCAGCATTGTTTATCAAATCTTTCTCCTTTGATTTCTGATTTTTCCTTCTAAAGTTAACAATGATTAAGAACTTACTATGTGCTAGGTACTATTCTAAACATTATATATATTATCTCATTTTCTTCTCTTAACAACCCTGTTAGGAAAAGGAGGCACAGAGAGCTAATTTGCTGAAGTTACACAGCTAATAAGTAAAGCTTAGTCATATGTTGAGTTATTGTGTGTACTATGCTCTAATTGTTTTATCATATCTATATTGTGGTTGTCTTTTCTGTTTTTATGCCATTATTATTCTGTCTTAATTAGTATAGCTGCTATACATTTACTTCTCAAGAAAGGCTAAGATAACTCTACTATTTCTTCCTTTTTCTCTTCTTGCCTGTTTATTTTTTCAAATGAACTTTAAGTATTTTATGTCATGTTCCAAAAAGTTTTTTATTGGAATATTTGTTAGAATTGTTAATACATAAATTATACTGGAAATAATTGCAACTTTACAATATCCTGTGAAAGTGTGTTTCTTGTACTTAGCCTTGGTATGTTCCAGGTGCTAAATAAATATTTGTTGAGTGAAAGAGTGAATGAATGGAGAAACTTTAGTTTATTATCTCCATCAAGCCTTGTCTTTTTTTTTTGAGATAGTGTCTCGCTCTTTAACCCAGACTGGAGTGCTTTGACATGATCATAGCTCACTGTAACCTAAAACTCCCAGGCCTCAGGCTATCCCTTCTGTCTCAGCCTCCCAGGTATCTAGGACCACAGGTGCATGCCACCATGCCCGACTAATTTTTTATTTTTTGTAGAGACAGAGTCTCACTGTGTTGCCCAGTCTGGTCTCGAATTCCTAGCCTCAGGTTATGACAAGTTTAAGCCACTGGGCCTCTGGCTTCCATCAAGTCTTAGTTTGTCTCTCATTAATGTTTTTCAGCTTTTCCTCATTTGATCCTGCATATTTTTCATATGTGTGTTATTTCTTGGCATTGTATATTTTTTCCATAACTTTCTAATTATTTGATGCCAGCATATGAGGAAACCACTAATGTTCCATATTTATTTATTTATTTATTTATTTATTTATTTATTTTTTTGAGACAGAGTCTCGCTTTCTTGCCTAGGCTAGAGTGAGTGCCGTGGCGTCAGCCTAGCTCACAGCAACCTCAAACTCCTGGGCTCAAGCAATCCTTCTGCCTCAGCCTCCCGAGTAGCTGGGACTACAGGCACGAGCCACCATGCCCGGCTGATTTTTATATTATATATATTAGTTGGCCAGTTAATTTCTTTCTATTTTTATGGTAGAGACGGGGTCTAGCTCAGGCTGGTTTTGAACTCCTGACCTTGAGCAATTCGCCTGCCTCGGCCTCCCAGAGTGCTAGGATTACAGGCGTGAGCCACCGCGCCCGGCCCCCATATTTATTTTGTTGTTAGTTATTTAAAGATATATTTCTGAAGGTGTCCCTGCGGAATCTTTTGGGTAGACATTTAGTTTCTTATTTTCCTACAATTTCTGTTATTTCTGGAATTCTTTTCTGTAATTTCCTAAATGTTAAAAATAGTGGACACCCTTGTTTTGGTTGTGATTTTAATGGAAATATAAGTTACCTTTTTTTTTTTTTTTTTGAGACATAGTCTCACTCTGTTGCCCCAGGTAGAGTGCAATGGTGTCATAGTAGCTCACTGCAACCTCAAACTCCTGGGCTCAAGTGATCCTACTGCCTCAGCCTCCTGAGTAGCTGGAACTGCAGGCATGACACCTGGCTAGTTTTTCTTTTTTTAGTAGAGACAGGGTCTCACTCTTGCTCAGGCTGGTCTTGAACTCCTGAGTTCAAGCAGTCCTCCCACCTCAGCCTTCCAGAGTGCTAAGATTATAGACATGAGGCACCCGTGGCTGGCCTATCTAAGTTACTTTTCACCAGCATGATGTTGGGTGGTAGTTTGCAATGCATGGTATCATTCTTTATCTAGTTCTTAAAAATATATCTTATAAGGAATGAATTTATAAAGAATTTTGTGATATTTTTGGTTCAGTTAAAGGATTTGCTATTGCTTCATAGCATTGTTATGGAAGATTATTGAATAGCACATATTTGGAATCTTTTAAGTTAGACATAGAAGGCACCTTATTCTGCTGTGGTAAGTAAATGTTTCTCTGACTTTCTTCTGGGTCCTTATTTCACTAATATCTAAACCTGAATTCTAGAGAGTGGAAGAGTGGAGACTGAAACAAACACATCCGTATATTCCCTTACTCTTAAGGTATAAAGCTTGGGTGTTTCTGTATATGGGAATATCTCACACCATTGAGCTTGGACATACAGATATAATAATAATCCTCACAACAACAGCAGCAACATTACTGCATTAGAAATGTGAATGGGCCAAGACACTGTGAAGGCTTTATGTGAATCATGTTTATTCCTCAGAAAAAACTACTTTATATTCTGATAGCCCATTTTACAGATGAGGAAACTGTGACTTAGGGTAGTACAATGACTTGTCTAGGGTTGCACAGCTAAGAACTGACAGAGACAAGTTACTTACAAAATAGAACCAAGCCTTAGGGAAGGCTGGATAGATAGAAGTACATATAGAGATAGATATGTGTGTATATAGGTATACACACACACATACATATATTAAATATTTGAGTTTGAGAAATAGATGCTGAGGACTAATGCATTTTGACATGTTTATGGATCCTAGTAATACAGTAGTACTTGTCTTAATGGTAAATAATAAGCCCTCTTCCATTAATAATGATACAAATACAATTTCCTTAGAAGGAAGTGCTAATTATAGTTGTCCCTCTGTATATGCAGGGAATTGGTTCCAACGCCCATGTATACCAAAATTCGTAGCATACTCAAATCTCACAGTTGGCCTTGTGGTTTCACAACTCACAAATACTCTATCTTCACACCATGTTTGGCTGAAAAGAAATCTGTTTATAAGTAGACTCATACAGTTGAAACCCATGTTGTTCAAGGGTTAACTGCACTTTAAAGCTAGATAGTATTTATTTCTAAGGATTTACAGTCTGGTTAGTTGACATATATTACTTTTAAATTTACCAATTTTTTCCTCTGCATTTTGCAGGCATGTCTGTAGGATTGACATAATCTATAGGTGCTCCTAATACTGTAATCCATAAGTCCACTCTCTTGCCACTTTTCCCCATAGGAATTCTAAGACGGCACTGAATTTTTGGCACCTTCAAAGTGAAAGACAGTTAACTCTAAGAAACCTACTTTCTCTGGAACTCAGTATATATGTTTTTTTAAACAAGACACAAGCATGTGGTAGAGTAGGGATTATCTAGGCAGTTCGCCTCTATCATGGATGGTAAGGGTATTAGGTCAGTGTTTGGAAGGGAGTAGGGACAGCTTGCCTATTTAGAGAGGTAATGCATTTTAAAATCATTTAGGAGACTTTTTCAAATAACCCTGTTTCTTATTGGTGTGAGATTCCCTGACATAGTGAGCCATTCAGGTTTGCCAAGGGGAAAAGTGTTCAAGAGCCACTGTACTAGACAGCATAAGACAGGAATTATATTATTAAAGCGTAATATGATAGTAATTTTTCCATAAGCCTGGGCCTTAAAAAGAAAAAGAGAGCATGTTAGCATGTTGATACCCCTCCCTCCCTCCCTCCCTCCCCCCCCCTCTATATATATATGTATATATGTATATGTATATATATATATATATTCCCAAACTAGAAATGAAGGCTATCTGAATTTTAAAAATTTTTTAGGAAGGAGTAGCTATGTACTTTTTTCCCCAACTCCAGAAATCCTTGCAATTAGATTCTCCCTTATTTCTCACAAATTAAATGCCTTAGTGTCTCACCCATCTCAATTATGCAGTCTTGCATTTTAATCTATCTTTGTTTCTGGGTCTCTTTTGCTGATTCTTGTTTGTTACTGATTTATAAGGTGGCTTACTTTTATATTTGTAGTTAGAGTCCCAGTGCAGTTTGATTTGGAGTGTCAAGATCTGTCCCATGCCCATCGCTATTCCTCAGTCTGCTTTATTGGGTTCATCACTTGGTTGTGGCACTAAATGAATGCCGTCCCTTTTACCTTTTCACCTTACCTCCCCCCACCCTCCCATACTGCTCAAGTTTGTTAGACCCCATGATTTAGCCTTAAACTAATTGTATTTTTAATTTATGTAAGTCAAATTCTAATTTCTTATGGATAAAAGGTAATTTCCTTCTCCATGTGGTAGAATTTTAATTCTGTAAATATTTAAGTTGTCCATTAATGTTCTATTAAATATGCACTAAAAATGCTGCGTTATTTGACTTTAAAACTTTTCATTATATTGTTTTTAATACTTTTCTTAAATGCAAAAACAAAGCTGTTAAACTTTCCTTATTAAAATGCTAAGCTTAATGTCTTCTAGCTTTTTGAAGAGCTTTTGTTCATTATATAATCTGTAAAGTAGCCAAGAGTTCCTCAGAAGCAGGACATCATTTAGATTTAAAACAATTATGGCTTGTGTATAAAATAATAATGTGGCATAAGCATTCATGGGATGGCAGCCATGACTTGACTTTAGTGGCAAAAATCTTTGGATACCGCCAACATTTTATTCTCCTTAAAGACTTTACCAAGGTACCCTAGAAGAAAAATGGTGAGGTCATTTTGATTCTGTTAGATAGATAAAGTCGGTGTGACTAGAAGGCCAAATGACACAGTTATGAGCATAGACCTTTTATTTTTTCCCCACGTTTGACAGTGTAAACATACATAAAATACATATTAAAGTTTAGATGCTTTATATTTTGTGCAATAAATTGAAGCTTTAAAAAGAAAACATTTCATTAAAAAAAAGAAACTCATTAGTTTTACTTAAGACAGTAAAATAGCAGCAAGTACCAAGACATTGTGCACTTCTTTTATTTTAATACAAGTTACTTCATTTACATCAGTCAGAAATGTAAGACCGGCTTTCTTGAATACTTAATATAGCTTGAATCACTGGTTAGATAGGGGCATATTTTCCCAACTGTACATCGAGAGGAGTGCTTTCATTAGTTTCAGAAAATACAGACCCTCAGACAGCCAGCATGACCACAACATTGAGCATTAAGAGAAATGAAGCATTGACTTTCCAAGCACTTGCCACAGAAGGTAAGCGAGTCTTTACATTTGTGGTTGTCTCTTCCCTCCGTAAGTTAAGGGTTGTGCTTTGTTGAGGCATTTCAGAGAAATTATTTGGCATGCCACTAGTGATACTTAGGGTCATGGGTGTTGGGGATGATTTTGTTGAGCTAGTGAGGCTTGTGTTTGTAACCATTCCATCTTGGAGATGAATAGTTAGAGTTGCAGCTGCTGCTTCATGTGTTTTGATGGTTTCTGTGGATGTATCTTCTGGATAGGGCACAAAAGCCTTATCAGTGCTAGTAAAGGTGGTGTCTTTGCTTAGAGTGGCACCAAACGTTGTTTCCCTTGTTCGATATTGTTTGGGTATTTTGGTCACTTTGGGTTGAGTTACCATGCTCAGAGAATTAATAGTGTCCACTGTCTGCATCCCACTTACAGTGAATACGCTTGACGTAAATCCAGAAGGTGTGGGATATATGGTATGTTCCTTTAAAGATGATATTTGGTTAGAACAGGGAGTCCCTACCACATGGGCTTTTGTTTCCATCATCCACTTCAATAAGTAAGTAATGTTTTGTTTGTGGTCACATGACCACCTGTTATTGTAAAGAGTTATCTCTTGCAACTGAAAGAGTTGATCAAAAGATTGATCTGGAATGAATGTGAACTTATTGTTGTGCAGGTAAAGATGTGTGAGATTTGTGAGGTTTATTAATGTTCCTGGAAGGATTTGTGTCAAGGAATTATGAGACAGGTCTACAATAAGTAGTTTGGAGGGCATGTTGGTTGGAACCGTCCAAAGTTTGTTACTACTGAGGTTGAGAACCTCGAGACTTCTTAGTGTATTTTTAATGAGGACAACCTTTTCCAGCATGTTCTTAGAAACATCCAGATATTTAAGGTTCCATTGATAAGCAGTATCAGATTTGTCAAGAAGTTTAATGTTGTTGTTAGCAGCAGACATGTTCCAGAGAGACCGAGGTAACTGAGCAGGCAAGCTTTCAAGCCTGTTGTTTGAAATATCCAGGGTCCTCAGATTGGTATATTGGGTTAACTGGTTATGCAGATCAGTAAAGTGGTTATAAGACAGGTTTAAGTATATAATATTCTCTTGCAGTCCAGATGGTAATGTAGTCAAGTTTTTGCCTGAACAATCCACATGCCTGTGCCTCTCTGTACATATACATTGGAGAGGACAAATGCACAAAATACCAGGAGTGAGAAACAGAAGGATGAACAGGCAGGGAGACATTTTCAATGTCTGATATTCCATCAAAGCCTGAAAACAAACAGATACACCCTTCTTTTAATATGCAAATACAATTTAGGCATCTGCATGGGTCAGTTAGCATTAGGCAAAATTTTCAATAAACCTCGTTGTTGTTGAGTCCTTTTATAATTGTTCCAGTGATTAAACTAACAAAGCTCCCCTTCATTTATAGTCCAAATGCTTAATCCTTCAATTGGGGCTATGTGGTAAGAGAGAGACTCTCTCTCCCTACTCTCTTCTGCATTTTTCTTTTATTCAATCCCCCCCTTTTTTTTTTTTTTACCATATTCTTTCTTAAGCATCTTCCCAGAGCCTTAATATGATAAAATGTCAGTCTGCAAATAATGAGTTACAGTCTTAAGCTATTACTGTTTTTGATAATATGCTTTCTTACTCAGATAGGAAAAAATGGCTGTCATGTCTTTTTTTTTTAATCTCTGCAGTAATATAATAGTCAATGTATGTGTGTAGGGTAAGATTTTATTTAGATATTAAAGCAATTCTTTGAAATATCATCTTTGTCTTTTTAGGATAAATACATCTCTGTAAAACATTTTAAGGCACTTGAAAAATCCAGACAAACACCATACCTTTTAAACCTCATGTTTTATAAAATTATTTTTTACTGTACATTTCAGTGCCAGTTCTAAGGAAAAACAATGTGTTATTTACAAAGTGAATGAATATTTAAAAGAAATCCCTCAACTGACACTGCAGCAAATTTCTGGTGCATGCACTTGTAATTGAATATATATTCAATCCTAACGTTGACTTTTTCTTAAAAAAAAAAAAAACAAGGAAAAATTTGTGAAGTCAGTCTTTTACTGATTTAAATAGCAGCTTACCATAGTGTCGTCTTCAACATCAGCACCTCATTTTCTCCGGGAAACTTAAAGCTTAAAGGTCGTCTTGTTCTGGAGAGTCGGAACCGTTTCTGGCTGTGGGCTGTGCTTGCCTGCTCAGCTGCATTGTGTTGCTGTGAGCTGAAGCTCTGCAACCACCTGATCAGTACCACATAGGAGGACTGCAGAGCTGTCATTGGTGCTGACTCAAATTTATGGCAAGAGGTGCACACGCAACAAAATGGGCAAATTTTTTTTTTTAATTTACGGTGCTAAGCGTACCTATATATCTCAGATTTGCTATCGGATGGAATACCTCATGCACATAGAGCTGGCCCTTACTTCTTTCTATGTATTTGTCTGAGCTCAGGTTCCACATTTTAAGATTTGCCTCATTAATAATTTGTGATTCTTTTTAATGCCTCTACTCTTCATTCTTTTTACATGTTGAAAAATGTTGGAAATGAATTTGTCCTTTGTCATGGGTGCTTTTCTGTTTCAACTATTTTTAACTCCTGCTTCTTTTATGTTCTTTTAAAAAAGGATACAATTGTCCTATCACTTTTAAAAATATAATACAATATGTTTGATTTTGATGTCCTCCCCCAACATGGCGATTATTATGTTTAATTAGCTTTTCAAATTTATTAACCATTTAATGTCTCATCTTCCCATTTAAGAGGAACAGAAGTACTTAAATGATTATTTTCTCTTTATCTTTCTTATATAAAGGATCGTTTGACCCAGGCTACACACAAGTTAGGCTACATTTTAAAATGAGCATCTTATACTTTTATTTACAGTACTTATGGTAAAATAAACATGTATTATTTTATGTATTTGGGGTTAAAGTGTTTTTTATTACTTATGAAATTTACTGTAGTTGGTAAGTGGATATGAGTGTTGTTTTTTCCAGAGGCATTTTTGTTGGTATGTAAATGACTATTTATTTGATTGCATATTTTAAAAATAATAGTATCAATTTTCAGTTATTTCTTCAGAGTATTTCACATTCCATCTTTATGGAAAGCAACTTATATTAATAGTTTTAAAATTACATGAAATAATATAAAAGGAAAAATTTTGGTCATGAGTTTTATAAAATGAAATCAGATTTACAATAACTTCCATTCCACTCTTCAGTGGACTGATTGTTTAAATAATCTGTTAAAACTCAAATATAATTTTCAGAATGGTCAATTTACCTTTAAAAAGGAAGGAAGTAAGAGTCAGGTGTAGTGGCACATGCCTGTGGTCCCAGCTACTTGGGAACCTGAGGTAGAAGGATTTCTTGAGCCCAGGAGTTTGAGGCTATAGTGGATAGCATCTGCACTCCAGCCTGGGCAACTCTGTCTCTAAAATTAAAAAAAAATGAGCAAAAGCAAGTAAAGTTACAGTATTTTCATTATCAAATTGTCACCATTTAAAAATCAGCAATGATTAGCATATTACATGTAATGTAAATCCCTTTATGCCATGTTACTGAATCTTTTGTTTTTCTCTAAAATTATATCTACCATTATGTGGATTTTACCCTAAATAGAATTTATTATATTAAAATTTAAAGTTTGTTTTCTTAGAAAAGAAAGTATAGAAGTCACCTTTTGTATAAAACTAGTGTTCCTCGAAAAGTCTTCAACATTAGAAATTTATTATTGATTAGTTGCTTTATTGCCACTTTACTTTGAGGGTTCAGTTGGACTCTTAATAAGATTCTTTCTATGGATTTCAGAAACCAGTCATTAATCATAGTGCTTAAAAGTAATGTGTTAAAAATACTGCATTCAGCAATATTGTTGTGGAAATAGAGAATGGTTGCATTGACATTTAGAGTTCTATTTTAGCTTGTATCTACACTGTTACACTTTAAGAGATGTGACTGAGGGTCAATTTACTGAACACTTAAATCTCTCCTTTTAATTTTAGAAAGCCTTCTTATATCAGTGTGGAAGTAGAGTTATTAATTTTCATTATTACACTTACCAGTACTTTTTGTTTGAAAGAAAGGACATGTTATTTCAATAACTGATAGATTCAAATGAGTTTGGGTTTAGGCCGTATCAAGTTTAGATTCTGCTGCATATTATAGAAAATTCTAACACAATAGTGGCAGTGTTTCTCATTTCAGGTTTGGGGACATACTAAGTTACTTCATATTATTCAGACATTATTATAAAATTCTCAAAAAGAAAAAGGGGAGCCAGGTGTGATGGTGCATATGCTTGTAGTCCCAGCTATTTAGGAGACTGAGGAAGGAGGTTCGCTTGAGCCCAGGGGTTCGAGGCTGCAGTGAGCTATGATTGTGCCACTGTACTCCAGCCTCGGTAACAGAGCAAAACACTGTCTCTTAAAAAAAGAGAGAGAGAGAGAGAAAAGGGGATCATTTCAATATATTTGAATTATAACAATTTGTTCTTAGCTTACACTTTTAGAAATTCTCATGACATAAAATAATAGTATTTTACTGTTACCCCAAAAAAATAATTTTTTAGAGACTTAAGAGTTACAACTTATTCAGATTAGCTCTTTAAGCAACTTTTATATTCTAGGTTAAACAGTAAATTAATTTATATATCCTTTTGTGTCCTAAGATACGTTACCCCCAACATTATAAAAAGCATAACAAACCACCTGCCAGGAAATGGCTATCCCATGTTAATAGTTCCAGTTCACCCTTATTTCTTAAATTGATAGATAACATTTACTGTGCTTATTTGACAGTCAAATGTTGTCTATTTTTGTTAATATATTTGGCTATTTAGACTGAATTTCCTGCTGAATACAACCAAGAGTACAGAAAAAAGTATTTTAAAATAATGGAAGAACTGACAAGATAGAAATTATCAGGTCAGAATCCAAGTGGATCAATCCCTTCAGGCACCTCCCACTCCAGCCATTGGCTTGTTGCCACAACTTGGTCAGTTCTCTAGAATCTCCCTCATTCTAGGTTTTTCCTCTTGGCTTCCATTGGGAGATTTAACTTGTTCTTCTATCCCCCATATTTCCTACAAATGGTTTCTAGTATTATTAACATAACTGCTTATTTGCATCATTCCACAGTAGTTTCAAAATAATACCAGTATTGCTACAATTATTTTTTTTAATCTTTTGTCTTTATTTTTTTTTCTTTTTTCTTTTATTTATTTTTTTCAGCATATTATGGGGGTACAAATGTTAAGGTTACGTATATTGCCCTTGCCCCTCCTCCCCTGAGTCAGAGCTTCAAGCATGTCCATCCCCCAGTTGGTGCGCATCACACTCATCATGTATGTATATACACATCACTTCCCCCCCACCTGCCCAACACCCGATAGATGTTATTCCTATATGTCCACTTAGCTGTTGATCAGTTAATACCAATTTGCTGGTAAGTACATGTGGTGCTTATTTTTCCATTCTTGGGATACTTAATAGAATGGGAGTATTGTTACAGTTAGATTACACACTACTGAATAAAGTTTAAAATTTCTTTGCAGTTCTGTTTGTTCTTAGAATATATTTTACAAAAGATCTATAGTGAACTCTGTGTTCTGATGCAATGTGGAATAATTCCTTTTTTTATATTTTTATATCACCAAATTGACATAAAGTTAGATTCCTTTGTTTCAGTTTTCAGTTTTTCAGAATCACTTAAGTCAAAATTATATTCAGAGTAATCTTGCTTCTCTGTCTTCTCCATCCTATTTCCTTCTTTCTATTGGTGACAATTTTTATTAGCTTTTGGTTATAGCTTAACAATATTTCTTTTTGAAAACATACAAAATATGTATTTCTGTGTATATATTATTTGTTTTATACCCTCTTTTTATATAAAAGGCTTTGTACTCTATATACTATTGAACAACTTGTTCCTTTATTTCTTAATATGTCTTGAGGACCACTCCACATCAGTACATAAGTGTCTGTCTTATTCATTTTGTGATGCTTAGTACTCCATTTGGGAATCTGTCGTGGTTTATTCAGCCAGTCCCCTATTGGCGCATATCTGGGTTGTTTCTGGACTTTGGTTCTCACAAATGATGCCACAGTGAATACCCTTATACCTAAATAATTTCATAGTTTTCCAAAAGATTCCTAGAAGTAGGATTGCTGGGTAAAATGGTAAATGCCTCTGGAATTTTTCCAGATATTACTTAATTCCTCTTTATCAACTATACTGTTTTGTAATCCCACCAGCAGTGTATCAGGATGTCTAGTTCTATATAGCCTTACTGTAGGCCTTATTGTTGAATTTTTATATTTATTTCAGTTTGATAGGTAAGTAGTGTCTCACTGAAATTCTAAATGCATCTCTCTAATTATGAGGATGATCAGAGATTATGAATGAAGGATTATGAAGAAGTTGTATATTTTTACATATGTGTTTAAGGACTATTTAAAATTTTTCTTCTGTGACTATTTTGTATATGTTTTGCAAATTTTTTATTGTGCTCCAGGTTTTCCCCCATCTATATTTAGGAGCTTTTTTAAATTGTAGAGATATTAGCACTTGTCTTGATTTAATTTGCAATTTTTTTCCAGTTTGCCATTTGTCTTTTTATTAGGATGTGGTGTGTGTGGGTAGGTATATGTTTGACATTTAAGAGTTTCACAAAATTTGGTTTTCCTTCTTCTTTTTTTTTATCCCTCCCTCCCCCCACCCACCCCCAGCCTTTTTTCTTTTTATTACTTCTGGATTTTGAGACTCAGCTAGGAAGGCTTTTTCTACTTCCACATTATAAAGGAATTCACCCATACTTCTATTATTTGTATAATTTCATGGTTTATATTTAGATCTCTGGTCTACTTGGTGTTTATTCTAATATAGTGTGAAGTATGGATCCAATTTTATCTTTTTCCAAATATCCATCCAGTTGTCTCAGTACTTGTTCCCACTGATTTGATACTCGAGTTTATTCCTGGACTTTCTATTCTGTTCTTTTGGTCTGTTTGTTTAACCATATACTAGTACCACCGTGTCTTAATTTATAGGTACTCAAATATTTTGCTACTTTACTTTTTGATCAGAATTAGGCAATGACAACAATTACAGGTCATCCTCATCTAATTCTTTATGTCCCCACTACCAACACTAAATAGAATACTTGTATGACATATGTATGTTTTGATGCATGGAGTAAGTAAGTGCTCTTTGGTCCTTTATTAGTGAAAAGAGTGTTAGAGCAGAAATCAGGAGATAAACTCAGGTTGTAGTACCACTTCTAAGAGAAATAAACTTTCTCTTCCTGATCCTGTTTCTTTAATCTTTTCTCTAGGTTTTTCTTTGTTCCAACATTTTCTTTCCCCTGTATTTATTTTATTAGCTTGCATTTCTTCATGCTGATTAAGCAAGGATTGCCACTGACCTCGGTGAGGAAAATTGTATGCAGAAATGTGAATTATTTTTCCCTCAGCAAAGAATTTCTTTAAAAAAAAAAGAAAGATAACATAAAAACCTAGCTGTTGCCAGTGGACTGTCCTTCTGTGGTACAACGAACAGAAGGAGAAAAGCTGCCTGTAGTGTTTAAAGAAATCAGAAAAGACTATGACCAAGTCCTCAGCTCCCGTTTTATCTAGGAGAGTTGGTATTTCTTTCTTTTTCCCTATATTTCCTTATATTCCTGCCAGGAAATAAGGTAGTAAAAGGAGCAAAAATGTGGAAAGAGCCCATTAGGTAACAGTCTTAAGTGTTTTTGAGTTACGATGATTTAAGGCATGTCAAATACTTGAGCAAGAATAAAAATATTATACTTTATTTATCCTAACTAAAATGCTTAAAATTCAAAAGAATAATAGGAAATTCTTAAATTCCAAATTGCTACTGGGTAAATCAGCCTTGAAAGTGCTAAGTTTAAAAAACACATGAAAGAAACCTTTTAATTTTAATGGGGAAGACAGAAGAGAACCAATGTAATATGACAATAAACATCATGCTTATTTAGGAAAAGCAAAAAGCTCAAGGAAATGTTTGTGCAAATAAGCTTTAATGGTCAGTAAGGGATGGCATGAAAGATTTAAGGAGAAATATTGTATAATATAAAAAATTCTAATCTTCTAAAGCTTACAAGTTTTTATTGTAAGGATGGAGCTTTGTTAGTTTCTGCAACACGAGTGCTACAGATAAATTCTATATTCTATTCTGAAAATCCCAAAACTATGAGACATTCTCCAAGACTAAGCTATCAATGAGGCTACTACATTTCATTCTAGGTGACTGTTTACCCCTAGAGTTAGGGTGGGGCTGATGAGGAAGAATATGTGCTTGTCGAGCAAAGGAGCACTTCTGCAGACACCGGCTGGCATCTCCACAGCATAGGCCAATGATCACACTTTACCTCGACTTTGACAAAGGTCAGGTTCTTCCCTACTCTAATAACTCAGATTTATTTATCAGTTGTCAGGTAATGGATAAAGATGAAATTCTGCATAAGAAAAGTGATTAAGCCGGGGTGGTGGCTCAAGCCTATAATCCTAGCACTCTGGAAGGCTGAGGCATGAGGATCGTTTGAGCTTAGGAGTTCGAAACCAGTCTGAGCAAGAGTGAGACTCTGTCTCTACTAAAAAGAATTTTTAAAAATAGAAAAATTAGCCAGGTGCCATGCCATACGTGTGGCCTGTAGTCCCAACTACTCGGGAGGCTGAGGCGGGAGCATTGCTTGAGCACATGAGCTTCAGGTTCCAGTGAGCTAGGCTGACACCACTGCCGTACTCTAGCCCAGACAACAGAGTGAGACTGTCTCAAAAAAAAAAAAAGAAAGATGGTTTATGAGTTTAAAGAGTTTAAATGGTTAGTATCAGAAAGTATAAATTTAGTGAAAAGTTGATAACCATCTTTCTTTCCTAGAAGAATCATCCAAATTCAGAATGAAACCATAGTTTCTATTTTTTTAATTTCCTTATGAGATTCAATTTTGTTTGGGTGCTTATAAAGCAAAGACTTTTTAAAGAGACTAGTTTTAAAATTTGTGCTTCCCCAGTATTATAGGAAAATGTTTATATTTTATGGTGCATGCTCTTATATTTTTCAGGGCAAATGTCCCCATTGCCCCAGTTTGCCATTTTAATAAGTTTGTTTTACTATTTCCAGTAAGACCATAAGGAAAATTTCTCTCTTCTCAAACATTCATTTTAATCTCTCATCCCCACAAATTTGGAATATGTATTTAATACTTGAGATATTAATTTAAAACTTAGAATATGTATTTAATCTCTTATTTTTCTCCATCCCAAACTTTGAAATGAAAAAATAAGTTTATTCAAAAGTTTATACATAGCTTTTTAGGAAAAAATATCTATTGGGTAATAACAAGTATATATAGTTTGCTTGTTTCAGAATGGTTAAGTTATTGACATATATACCATCCACATATGTAAAATGTACTATATTTTAAAGACAGATACTGTAACTGGTAAATAGTTCACTGTTAAATAACTTTTTTAAAGAAAGTTCCACCTATCCACATGGGCTTTGAGCAGATTTCACACAGTTCCTGAATAAAAATTAAAATTGACTACCAGCTGCCATTTTATATATCTCATTATATGAAGAAAAATAAAAGATGGAGTCATTTAAGGATGGAAGATCAGCCTAAAAGCACTTTGTAAAATTTATAACAGTTCTGCAGGTGGAGGTGGCAGGGATTCATTAAGATCTTGATCAGAGTCAAGAGGAACAGAGAACTCCTGGCTCTGGATCTCAACGTTGAATTCTTCCTGATTTTTCATAAAATCCACTGGCGGCTGGACCAAGTTAAGTGAGTCAGGGGAAGGTGGAAATGACTGTTTGGTCTCAGACTGTTTAGGTTCTTCACATGTTTGACTGAGACAGTCCAGAGATGGAGGGAAATTGATAGAATCATTTGGAAGAGGAGATACAGTTGTCATTGTGGGTTTGTCAGATTGGTTATTCTCTTGTCCTTCCAAGTCAAGAAGGGGAGGTGGTGGAGGCAGATCTGTATCATCTGAAGAAGAAATAGCTGTGCCAATTGTTGATCCACCCACACTTTCCTCTGATGTACCATTTACTTGATCTTTTATTTCCTCTTTTTGGGGGTTGTTGGAATCTTCAATGTTTTCACTTGATTCAAACAACTGAATTTCCAAGTCATCTCCTAAAAGCGTGCTTTTGCTGGGTTTCCAGGTCATAAGTGAAACAATTGATGTACGTTTTGTGGATACTTCATTTTCTCTAATGTTATCCATACATATGTCAGGGATTTCTCCATCAGCAAATGGAGACCTGCCTGCCCAATTTTGGTCATTTAAAGCTGGTTTTCTCAAGCATTTCCATAGTACAATCATGATTATAGCCACCAACAGAGAAGTCAGAATTACACCAATTAATATGGCAGCTATTGAATTAGAATTGGTTTTATGTGAGGTTTCTTTGTTACTGGTAGGTTGTAAGATGAATCCCGGTGTACCCCTAGGTGAATTTTTGATCACTGATGTTGGTTCTGTGGATGGATTATGAACAGTTGGTGGTACTGGTTTTCTAGAAGGGGTGTGGACAGATAATGATGGTTGTTGAGTGGAAGTATAGACAAATGATGTTGGTGATTTTCTGGTAGAAGTATGGGCAGATGGTGGTATTTGTCTTGCAGAGGTGAACACAGGTAGTGCTGTTTGCCGGAAGGAGGTATTGACCGTTGGTATTGGTGATTTCGTGATGTTATTGGCAAGTGATTGTCCAGCAGAAGTGTGTGCAGCTGGTTCCCCAGAAGAGACATGGACAGCTGGTGTTGGTTGTCCATCAACAACTTTGGCAGATGGTGTTGGCTGTCCAGAAGAAATGTTGTTGAATTGTGTTGGTAGACCTGAAGGATTCCTTGTGTTTTGAGAATTAGCCGAGACATATGATGCTGATGATCTAAATAAGGTAGGCATCTCTGTTGGAATTGCCTCTGTCTTTGAGAAAAATGTGTTATCCAGGTGTCCATAAAGCAAAATTAAGATGAAATACTTGGGCTCCATTTCAGAATGTTTCCTCTTTACCAGAGATTGTATAATAAAAGAAAGAAAGAAAGACAATTAGGTATCATTTGGTATCTAGTTATATTTGACTTTTCATTAAAATGCCTGGCATAAAGTAGATAGGTACTCGATTAGTATTTATTATTCCTAATTTAGACTTGACAGACTTTAGGCTAGTATAAACATCTCTTGAATATACCCTAACCTGTTACACAGCATTTGGACCTCGTAGACCAGTGCTCTCTCTTAATTCCTTGATAAGATCCATGCTTCCCCTCCTGCCCCTCTAGCTTCATTACATTATAGTCCTTCCTCTCACCGTCATACTTCTCATAGCGCATGGGCTCTATATGCTGGATCCATGTGTTCTCTACTTTTTTTTACCCTTTACTCCTAGAAATGTATTGATTCTGTTGCCTTGAAGATTACCAGTGACCATCTATTACCCAATTCAGTTGTCATTTGTTTCTTCTTTTTTCCCCTTCTCTTGACCACCTTTGACACTACTGACTCTTCCTTCACTAACATTCAAGTAGCTGTTTGTAATCAGTCTTCCTACATGTTACTCTCACTAGCTGTTTTTCTCCTGCCTCCTTAATATGGCCACTTGATACTCAGTCTTTACACCTATCTACTTTGTTCCTGATCTGTAAGATTTCACTTCTCACCTTTATGCCACAACTCCCAAACCTATACATCCAGCTTAAATCTCTCCTTTGTTCTTTCTGATTCTATTTGTACAACTTCGTGGTGGATGTTGCCATGTATATATACCACTAGCAGCGAATTCAACCTATTTACAATGGAATTCATCTTTACTTCACAACTGACTCTTCTCTCAACTTCTCTGTTAATGGTACCACTAGTTTCTTATGCACCGAATCTGTTATATTAGTAATCTTTCCAGCATTCTCAATGTCTAGCACTGTGTCCTTATGTTAGTATCTCATATTTTTAAAGGACTCATTTTTGCTCAAAGTCGTAAGCTCAAAATCCTAGCATGATCTCTGAATCTGGTTGAGTCAGTCCTATTTAGATGGTCCTGCTGCTGCTTTCATTCACTTATTGGTAAATACCATCTTTGTGTCAGGCCCTGTTCTAGGTTTAGGAGATTAAAAAGAGAAAGATGCTGCCTTCAGGTGTTTCAGGTTCTAGTGGTAGAAATAAACAGGTAAACAATTATTACAATTTGATGTTTTCTCGTAAATGTATGCAGGAGTTGCACAGAAGTAACCTAGTTTGAGAAGTCTTTAAGGAAGTTTTCTCAGAGAAATAAAACTTTAACTGAATCTTAAAATGTCTGCAATAATTAAGCAATAAATAAATATTCTAGCTAGGGGTAATAATAAATGGGCACAGGAAAAGAAGGCACATGGGTAAGTTTGGCATGTAGAGCTTTTAGTGGTAGATGCTAACACTTGAAAAGTTAAGTTCTAGTTCTGCTTCTACCACCTAACTTCCTGTCTAACCATGAGAACTAGTCACTGATCTCTACAGTTCTCAATTGCCTTATCTCTAAAGTGAGGAGTTATACTAAGACAATTTTTAGGTTTGAATGTAATATACTTGTTTTGCACAATTAGAGAAAGGAGAATCTCAGGGTGTTAGACCTTGGTGTATATGATTAGACACTGTAGCTCTTCTATGAATCATAGGCCAATCTAAGACAGATACGATGTTTTTTTGCAAGGTGTAATAAAAGGTTTTGCAAATAAATAGACTTTTTAGCATATTTGAGTAGTTTTCATTGCTTGTTACTAGGTATACAGTGAAGATAAAAAACCCTGTTTTAAGAGAAGAAAAGGTGATTTTTTTCCCTTTACTTTCTCTTCCTTTTTATTTTCTTTCTAATGCTTCAAGCCAAAACTTTAAAATAGTTCAACTTTGAACTATTTAGTTCAAACTATTTAGTTCAAGATAGTTCAAATGTGAACTATCTTGCACGCTGCTGATGAATTAATCTTAAAAACATGCATGATCAGGTTGTTACTCCCTTGCTTTGGGGATTCCCCATCACTGTTAAGCTAAAACTTTTAAACTGAGTTTTCTTCCTTTTGTTTTGAGTTAACCAGTCCAGACTCACATCTCATGGCTGAAACTTCTTATCCAGCCAAATGCACGCTTTCCCCACCTTACATACTTTCTAAACACATACTTTTTCCCCCCTAAACAGACACTTTCAATCATGCTGCTTTTCACCATCCTCAACTGTGTTCTTTTTAACCTGGCCTCTTCTGCTTTCTGACTGCGGATCTGAACCTGTTCCCATCTTTCAGACCTCAGTCTAAATTCCCCTTCTTACATTAAATTCTCTCTGCCTGACCACAGCCCAGAGAAATCAGCCATTCACAGACTCCCCCTAGTTCTTACTGTCAGTATGGTTCCTTTGTATACCTCACTCTCACTTCTATTCTCTTATATAAGTGTTTATTTTTTATTACTTTTCACATTTTCTTATTATTCCCTTGAACAACATTATAAAGAACCTTGAAGAAGGCAAAAAGAAAAGAAGAAATAAAAATACTTATCTGGAACATACTCTGTGCTGTACTATCTCAGGTGTTTCACGTATTTTATTTCATTTAACCTTTAAATGAATTTATGAGGAAGGTGAGGGGATTCTTTATTTACAGATAAGGAGACAACTTCAAATGAGTTAAGCAATTTGCCCAATGTTACATCACTATCAATGACAGATTGGGAATTTGTACCTAGGACCATCTGATTCCACAGCATATGCTATTTCTACTACCCTATACTGCCTAATGTTTTTGTATTTTGATTCCTCTGCAGCATATGTTTTACATATTAGTCATTCAGTAAACATTTAATTTGTATTGGGGGGCCGGGGTGGTTGCTCACGCCTTTAATCCTTGCACTCTGGGAGGCTGAGGTGAGCGGATTGCTCAAGGTCAGGAGTTGGAAACCAGCCTGAGCAAGAGTGAGACCCCGTCTCTACTATAAATAGAAAGAAATTAATTGGCCAACTAATATATATAGAAAAAATTAGCCGGGCATGGTGGCGCATGCCTGTAGTCCCAGCTACTCAGGAGGCTGAGGCAGAAGGATTGCTTGCGCCCAGGAGTTTGAGGTTGCTGTGAGCTAGGCTGATGCCACAGCACTCACTCTAGCCTGGGCAACAAAGCGAGAGTCTGTCTCAAAAAAAAAAAAAAAAAAACAAATTTTGTATTGGGCTTCTTCATTCACTTCCATTTCACTGTTTCACTTTTAATTAATACTTCTGCCAGAATATGAGCAAAGAAGTTGAAATCTAAGTCGATAAATTCTTTTTTATCCACTTCTGCAAAAGATTTTAAAGAGAAAAATTTGAAACTTTTGACATAAATATGGGCCTTCATATCATCTCTAGATAGTTGTCATTCATGCAATTCCTCCCTAATATTTTTATAGATTACCAAAAAGAACGCTTAGTTAGAAAATGGCATTCTTCAAAGTTTCATTTTAAAAATGTTTTTTAAAAATGCTAAGCATCAGAAAATATAGGTCATGAATTGTCTTCAGCCAAAAATGTTTCCTCTTTTGTGACTTAGCTTAAAATAAAGAAACCATACAGTTCCTCTTTTCAGTTAGCTGAAAATGGCATTAGAGAAGGAAACAGCCCAAACAGGAACATAATTATAAACCCAGTTTAGTTTGTAAGATCAATTTCGATAGGTTCACAGTCTCTTATGTCAGTAGAACGTATGTAGAGCCTTCAGTGTATGAAATTTTCACTTGTCATTTAAGGATTACAGCAGTATTAAAACCAAATTCCATTTTTGACCTATCCTACCATTTTCTCCCACTCTTAAGTTAGGTTTTTACCCTCCTAGGATCTGCTACATCAGAATACTAGAATCTGTGTTAGACTCCTACTATAATAATTTGGCATGGCCCAGAAAAGAAAAGGAGAAAGATTCAAGAGAAAAATAAATAGATATAATAGTGAAAAAACTGACTTTTTTCCAAAGGTAGTGAAACCAGTGTTATTACCAGTTTGGAAAGTTATTTAACATACATATGTTTTAACACATTAACTGTCATGTGAGTTGTATTTAACTCACGCTAGTTTTGAGCCTGGGGCCTCATGAAGCATATGTAACTCACATGTCTCTTTACCTTGTTCACCATAGCTATGGGCACAGAAAACAATAAAAAATAACAAATTTTTCATTAAATTAGAAAGGATCATTTTGTTTTCAAAGTTTTTGTTGTTTTCATAATAACCATGGCCCCAAGGAAAAAAAATTTTTTTCCTAGTGTTGCAGTCAGTATGTTAATATATAAGTGGTATGTATTTAAATTAGCAACCATTGTTTCTGCTGGGAAAGAATAATGTAGTATAGGGGAATAAAAAGCAGGAGAAAATGTAGCATAAGATGAAATGAAAAGGCAATGCAAAGAAAAGTACAAAATAACACAAAGAAAAAAATAAAACAAAAATTAAAGGAAGCAACAAATATATGGAAAAGAGGAAGGTCTATTGACTAGAGAAAGGTATTGAAGAAAAGTTAAACAGCTGGAAAAAAGTTGTGGTTATGTAACTGACAAGAAATTAAGTACAAGAATAAAGTGGGTAAAATGAAGAAGTTGGAGGAAAAGATTGAAGTAGATGAAAAAAGCAACCACAAAATGCTATTCCCTGTAGTGGCTTGTGTTTGTGGGTGCAAAGAACCAGCAGAGAGGAGCTGTCTTTTCAAGATGGAGGGCCAGCATGAGCCATCCTTTCAAACTCTCTTATCTTTCATTTCAGGCTCTCCTACCTGCTGTGTCATTAAGATATTCTTTCTTGCTCTCTGTTTCTCTGTCTCTGTGTCTCTCTCTGTGTGTGTGTGTCTCTCTCTCTCTCTCTCCTCACACCACCCAGAAGCATATCTGGTAATTACTACAAAGAACCTGTGCACATTCTGTGTAAGATTTTTCTAGAAATCCCTTAGTCTGCTGCTCAGGCAAATCCCAAATTTGTCAGCCTTCATATGGCAGTATTTTATTTTAGGCTGATGATACTTTGAAGTTTAAATGTGTGAATTTTGGTCCTTTGCTTTTCCAGATTATTTTAAAATTTTTAAAAGGAAAAAGAAAAACATGAACTGTTTTAACTAAGCATGTTAAAGGCAGTTGCAGTAAAGCAGGAGTCCCCATGTATTAGACATGTTTTTATATATATGATGCCTAAGTACATAAAGGGTCCAGCATTTAAAAATGTTGCTATTAAGTTGGGTATGTTAAAAAATATGTCATTGTCATTTAAAGGGAATCAGGGCAATCTGGAGAGCATACCTAGACAAGGCAAGTATAGATAGCATCAAAATAATTATCGGTGTTCCAATTACTTTGATATAGTAAAAGTAAGTTATAATGCAAATATAATAGATTAAAACTTTCCAGTAGTAATATCTCCAACTAATGAAGTTTGAAACCATAAAAGGAAGAAAACAGCAATTCTATATCTTGAGAAAGAACAGAAAGGGAAATTGATCTTAAAGTACAACAGAAAGTATTTGATGACCTTTTATTTACTACTAGTTACTGGGCACCTACCAATGCTAGGCACTATCCTATTTCAGTGAGCTAGGTGCTGGTATTTTCATCTTACAGATAAGGAAACCCAGAAGAGAATTTGGGTAACTTGTCAAGTGTCACAGCTTTTCTAAGTAGCAGCACTATTACAGAAACCATACTGATCTTTTACCAGAGCCCTTTCCTTCTGTTACATGTCATTATGTGTGCTACACTGCCTTTCATAGTAGCAATTATGAAATAAAAATGCTTTATAAACGAAGAAGATGTGAGTTCTCTGGGAACAATATGTAAATAACTTGTGGAGATAGTCTTACATAAAGGATAGAAGAAGAAATACCAAAAAACCCATTTTAATCTTTTAAGAGTTACTATTCTATGAAAACAGTTACAGGAGTTTTGAATGGTTGGCCTGTAAACTGTCATATTTACTAAGTTTACTAAAATATTTGTGGTGATTTTTAAAGATTGGACATTGAGAGGCATCAGATTTATGTTTAGCAAATTCAGACTTACTCAGAATCATTCCTTCTAATTAGAATTATGTAGCAATTAGTTGAAAAACACAGGCACTATTAAACTTTATATTTGACCTAATCCTTTAAAAACATGTATGGGATTCTGTGATGACAAAGACACCAATGTCAAAGATTCATGGGAAATTTTTGAATAAAATTATTTAATGAAATATGAGTGAAAATAATATAACTTTGTCCTTTAATATGCATAACGAAATAAGCTCAATATTAGAAGCAGAAAAATATATAAACAAGTCTTATCTTAAAAAAAGATAAAAATCTTTATTTTCTATCTTCTGTAATACTTAGAAGAAATCCAAAATGGACTTCTGTAAGAGAAAGTCGTAAGTATTTATGAAGTATTGAAAAAGGACGTCACCCACTATAAACTTATTTTTCCTTGAAATTATAGGTCTGTGTAAAATTCTGTTTGCAGTTTTTATCTAGAGAATATATTTACTTTGTAGTTACCTAGTTTACTCACGTTGTAAGCATATTTTATGCTTATTATCAATTTTCTATTCTGTGGATTTTTTTCCTGTGTCTTATGCTATCTACTAAAGGCTTATATAGTAATTGACATAAATACATAGGTGATATGAATATGTCTATACATTTTGTAACATTTTTATCTTAGTAAGTTTTTTAAATGAGCAATATTTTCCTGTCATTATTACTTTAATATAAAATTCTGTGTAAAAACTAAAGCATATATAATTATAATTGAGTACCTCATCTAATTTACTTCTTTCTAAATTAAATGAAGGTAACTGTTCTTACTATGGAAACTAAAGAAGATTTAAAAAATAAAAATAATTTAAATCTATGGATTGTATTATATACAAGAAAATTTTATAGAAAGCAAATTAGAATTTAACAGTATATTGGAGGGTATAAATTCAGTCATAATGCATGGAATCTAGTTTTATTTCTAACCCTCAGCCTTATCTGCTATGGCTATAGTTTATTTCTTTTAATTACAAAACTAAGGTTAACAACTGTTAGAGTTGAATAAACTTGAAAGGCCTTATACAAAACTAGATGATAATCTTTTTCTAAGGAAAGCTCAACATTGTGTATTTTTAAATTATATGCAAAAAAAACCCCACAAAAACATGTTATAGGCACCTTTAGACAATCAGAGTTGAATTTAAGTTTAAAACACTAATGACATTTTAGGTTTTTAAATAAATTTTATATAAAGCAAAATGAAACCAAATTGCCTGTGTGAAATTTTCTTACCTCAGCTGCAATAACTTCTTTTGGAGAATGCTAAAGTCTTCTAACTGGACATTTTGGTGATTTGGCTAAGAAAGCAAAAGGGGTGGTTCAATTCAGATTAAAAATGGTCCTGGTAGCAAACTGAAATAATTTCTGTACAAGAGGAAGTTTATCAATAGCTGGTTCCGGAAGTGCAATAAGCCACAAGATGACTGAGAACTGTACTACTTTAACAGAACTTACATTGAAAAGCAATTTGAAGCTATATGATTTGAGTGCTTTTAATTAATGTTTGTAAATAAACATTTGAGATTCTCATAATATGATTATATAATTAAAATATTTAGCATGGATCCCTGAAGAGGAAATTATGTGTTCTAAGGAAAAGCTGCCAGTTAGGTTATTACCTATAGTCAGATTTCTTTTCATAAGCAGTGAGTGATATGTTCTGTTTGCTTGTATGACCTTAGCCAAGGTCCTGCACTTCTGAGTTACCATTTCCTCCCTAAAGGAATGTTTCCCTTATTGGGTTATTGTGAGGATTAAATAAGATAATATAACATAACATGTATAAATGTCTCTTAGAAAGTAGACAGCCAGTAAATGTTAATATTATTTCCTCATATATAATATAGACAAAACCCAAGTAAAATTATATTAAATTGTTTTGGCTAAATACTAAATAATTTTTTAGTTCAAGCTCAACAACTATTTATTTGATTACCCACAAAGTAGGTACTTCTCAGTGGAAAATAAAATAAATTTGGAATCACTTTTAAAATAAAAAATTAAGCAAAATATATTGAAAAAAGTATGTGTCCAGGCTGGGTGTGGTGACTCACGTCTCTAATCCTAGCACTCTGGGAGGCCGAGGCGGGAGCATCATTGGAACTTAGGAGTTCAAGGGCAGCCTAAGCAGGAGCAAGACCCCGCCTCTACTTCAAATAGAAAAAATTAGCCAGGCGTGGTGGTATGTGTCTGTAGTCCCAGCTACTCAGGAGGCTGAGGCAGATCTCTTGAGCCCAGGAGTTTGAGGTTGCAGGGAACTATGATGATGCCACTGTACTCTAGCTGGGGCAACAGAGTGAGATTCTATCTCAAAAAAAAAAAAAAAGTATGAGTCCATCTGAATAAAAACTTTTTTGAACTAGTCACCTTTTAGCCCTGTTCCTCTCCTGAAAAACAGTTAATTCCTAATTTATAAGTTTATTATGAAGTTAAATAAATATAAAGCGCCTTGCTTAGTGCATATTGTAGTAGATACTGTTAACCCATGTGCTGTTTGTCCCTGGTCACTACAAAGGAACACGAATTATTATGATCTGGTTCTTTCAAGGCACTTATAACTTGGTACAAAAAGAATAGTTGTTAAAATTTTTTAAGAGGTCTTACTATAAAGCAGAATATAATCAAAATGCTATAAAGTTTTTGATTCACTATTTTTAAAGCCCTGGATAAAGCTGGAGATTTTCTACTTGGGGATAGAAATTAAAGTGGTTTTGTTCAAAAATGACTTAAGTTTTGAAGTCAAAATTATCTTACCTATCGTCTTTAAATACCAGTCAGTTTTGGAAAGGAACCACTTTGTTCATGAACTATCATTGGATGGTATCATTCTGAGGATGTGTGTTTATTAACCAAGATAATGGGTGGTGAATTTTAAATATTCCTAATAGAAGTTCTCTGGTGAGAAAATGTTGCGTATGAAAGTAGTTTCCTAGTAAATTAATTTTTACAAAGATACTAATTTCTTTTAAATTCCTCTGGTATTTTTTTATGACACTTGATTCAAGGAGTGCTTTGTATTATCACTATGTGTTCTAGTACACAATCTCAAATTTTTAATTTTTGCACAAAGTGGGAGCTCTGGACAGTTTCATTGCTAATCTGGGCCATTTTACTCCTAAAGAAATAATCTGGTTGTCACCATGATTGGCATGTGTATTCTCATGCTTTTCTTTTTACTTCATTGACATTAAGCTTTATCTGGAATAATATGGTTTTGATTTATTGTTTAGGGAATGGACTTTTTTTTTTTTTTTTACAAATTGGTAATAAATTGATGCTTTATTTTTCCCCCTCTTAAGATGTAACCTAGATGTTTGGAGCCATGGAACTTGTAAGAAGTAAATTTGATGACCAAGAGTGGTATCATCTAGGGAGTTATGTAAAATTACCAATGCCTGGAGCTCACCCCATCCCCATTGAATCAGAAGGAGGGTGTGAGAATTAGGCATTGGTGTTTTTTCAGAACTCTTCAGGTGATTCTGATATCTAGCCAGGGTGAGAATCACTATCTTAGAAGATAGAGTAAGATTGTAGTCATAGTTCGAAGAAACGTTTAATAAATCTTTCCTTAAATGATTAGCATATTCCCAAAATAAATGCTCAATAAAGGATAAGATTTTTTTTAATGTGGCCTAGTCTTTAATTAGTATACCCTGTGTCAGTTTCAGTAGATATTTGGAAAGTTTCTCAAACCAAATTTTATAATTGAATTGAAGATAGAGGTCTTGACTTAAATTTAAGTCATTATTTTACTTGAAGCCAATTTCTTCAAGATTAAACAATTATCTGAAGTATCCTGTTTCCCCAACTTGAACAAACACACACACACTTTTCCTTTGCTCATTTTACATTGGATAGTAAAAAATAAAATTGATCATTTATTAGGCTACTTGGCATCCTTAAAGTCCAAAAATTAATCAACCTTGTATATTTGTTATTAATACTCCAATAACCAGTATTTATAGAAAAGATGAGTGTTACTCTTAAACAGTAAACCATACTTTACATTTACACTTAGCCTCTTGGTGTGGCTATGAATCTCATTGAATTTGGTTGTGCTCTATTTCTTATTGGTCTTTACAATGTGTTCTCTAAGATAACACAGTGAATGCAAATATACATAGTCATAGTTTTATTCTAATGAGTTTAAATTTATTATATAAAATTAAAAGTTTTAATATTTATGGTAGAATAACACTTTCTCATGTGTGCCATATGTAAAGATGAAAGCATCAGGACTAAAATTAGCTGTGTTTATAGATGAACTGATGTGGATTCTGCCACATCCAGCAAAGAAGTTACCATTAAATTATACAGTTCAACTCTATTCATTAGGAATTTTACTCTCTATTAAATGTTGGAGTATATGCTTGGCTGTAAGGACACACTAAAATTCTTCCAAGTTTATATTCAGACAAAGATCATCTAACTACTGTGGCTGAATAGGAAATATTTAATTATCCCTTCCTCTCTATTCATGTCCTCAGCTTATCTTTAAAACTTTCCTCAAATGCTTGGTGATTTTATTATTTGCTTTTTAAATCATTCAGTGTCAAAAGTACATAGTTTAAGCAATTAAATAAGCAGGCATACTTCGCCCCTTCCTGTCTGCTTGATTTAAATTAAATTGCAAGGCCTGCCATGACAATTTTAGATCATCAGCCCAACACTTTGGTATTAAATACCAAACTGCATTTTTACTCTGTAACCTTTCTTATTGCTACTTTGCATTTTTCTTCAGTAAACCATCTGTTAGTTAGTGAGTTTTTCAGTTCCTTCATCTTTTCTTTCCCTAGTAGCTGTGAGCACTCCAGTAGATTGCATCATTAGGTTGGGTCCTGTGAGCTGTTTTGCTCTTTTCCAAGTGTCTGATTCAGCAGGCCATAAACCACTGCTTGCCAGAAAATCTCCATTGCTTCTAGGCTGACGCTTGCCTACTGTTTTCGATCGTCTGAGAGATGAGACTTTGTTTGCCAGAACCACAGTTGATAGAAATAGAAGGGTACAGATAAGAAAAAGCACTGCAATTATAATTAAGCAAATTAGCATGGCCATGTTGTTGTTGTTTTCCTCACAGACATCCTTTTTGAAAATTTCACTGTGACTTTTGCTTGTGTTTTCAATGCTCTGTACTGTGGGGGAACTCTTCTTGACAACAGAAGGTATATAAAGCTCCTGTTCCGATTTAGACGTGAAGATGTGAGATGTTGCCATTTCAGGCATGTTTGTGGAATTACTTTTGTAATTTACTGCAGGAGTTACAGGGTTGGTGCTAATGTTTTCCTTTTGGTTTCTGCTTGTCTTGTTTTGAGTAACTGAATCCCAGGCAGTAGTATTATTAGCCCAGCGCTGGGTATAGTTTGCTTTTGTTCCAGGGGACAAAGAAAAAACTGTTGCCATCAGAAAGACAAGATGCAGGTAATGTCCTCTGTGTTCCATGTCCATAAGTATACTGGTTATCTGTTGGGATAGCAATATAATTTGTTAATTTGTGAAATAATAATGGTTCCTAGTTTTGGTAATTGTAGTTACAAGATATTTGAAATGTTACAAGCTCACACCTAACATTAGTTACCCTGTTTGAATTCCTTCTCAGCTGAATTTTTTTCTATTACTCTTAGGCTATATACAAAGAAGAATTTTAATTTCTATTATATTTTTAGGTACCAGAAGTTAGCATTACAAATAACTACTAATCATTTTAAACTGAATAACATGGCTTTGTATAGTTTTCTCCCTTTTAAGCATGCTAGACTTCTGCTTTGAGTCAGATACTTCTGCTTTTACTCTTTTGATTCCTCCTTTAACAAAAAAAGGATCATTCTTACGGAAACTCCCCACCCTCTAATCTGTCACCAATCTTTATAGTAAAGGAGGAATATAGTCTTGAGCATTTTGCTTCATGTATGAAAGGAAAATGCAAACTTTTTTTGGTAGAGAGGAGGAAGGAAAGTTGGTTAGTAGCCAGAAAAAGTGAACTTCAAATAGGAATTAAAGATGTTCTTTTTTCTTCCTAGGTATTTTATCTTGCCGCTTAGAATGAAGCTGATACTTAGAAATATATTCCCAGTATTTATAAAAGCAATTTTATGGTGGTAGTTCTCTCTTTTTACCACTGTTCCCCCTCTATTTCCCCTGACTTACTGTGACTTTCTGAAAGCAAAGATATGCCAGTTTTGTCAATCTAAAAATCTGGCAAAACAAAGAAAAAGCAGCATATTTCTTCTGAATAATCTCATACAAGTTCAACAAAAGTTATTGGCTTTTTTCAGCATCTTTTGTATCTAGCATTTTTTTTTCTGATTTACCTTAATTCTAAAAAGAGAAATTGTACAACAAAATAGAAAGAAATAGGGCATCAGGATCTTGGAGATTTAGAATGAAGTGACAGATCATAAGCATCTCAACATATAATTGAAAAAGTTGATTTCAGTTTTGGCTCTGAGCTTCCTGGAAGCCAGTACAAAAAGGGGATAAGTTCTATTCTAAATTCTCATTATCCTACCATGTGATTAAAGGTTTAAATAGAACTGGCATATCTTAGAATTCAGCAGTTCCAGGTACTACTAATATAGCAGGAAAGATTTATTATCATTAAGGTGTTTTATAATAATATACCAGTTTGTCCTGAGCTACCTTTGAAAGAGTATTTTATTGTTGGCACTTACTTAAAGGAACTAAAAGCAAAACTAGATTATTCTCTTGACATTTACTAAATGAAATTGCCTGGTTAAGAACCCCGTGAATTTTATATAGATTCTCCTCAAACTTAAATGTGTACGAGAGTACTTTTTGGTGTTTTTTGTTTTTTTTTTTAAATGCAGATTCTGATTTACCTAGATCTCTAGGTGAGGCATAAGAGTCTATATTTCTAAACTTACTACCAAGCAGTACAGATGCCACTGCCAGTCATGCTTTTGAGCATCAAGGTTTTTTATAGGAAATGGTTATTAGTTATCAGGTAACTTTTGTATACCACTGAAATATAGACATTAATAATAACATGATATGTTGAGTTATACAAACAAAAGTAGGATATAATCAAATGTTCTAAGGTTAAGGTTCCTTTTTGGACTTGACCGTTAGTAGACAGTTAAGGAAACAGTGTACTGGCTTTGTATAAAAGTGTTCGGCTTTAATTTTTAAGTTGTATGACATAAATCTTTGGATACTTTAAGATTCTTTCACAGAAAGAAATACTTGAAATTGGGTTAGCAAGTAATTTTCATTCTTTTGTACTAGTCTGGACTTCTACATTAGATACTAAAATGATTTAAAGTGGGTTATTCTTGTCACATTAGTTCACTTGACAATGTAGTATACATCATAGTACTCGTGCACATTTTAACAGTGCTCACCACGGGACAGAGAATAGGCCCGCTGTTGATTGTCTTCAGCCAGATGTACTGCCGTGGCCAAATAAACAAGCTGCTGACAAAGTGAGACTTTCTCTTATCCTCACAAATGCCTGAGAATTGGGGACTGTTTCTACATCTCTAATTTATGCCAGGTTATGTTATCAAAAGTTTTCTTTATCTCTGGTTGTTTCCAGTAAAATTTATAATGCCTAAATATTAGTAATGAGAAACATTTTTTAACCTTTTTTTTAATAACGAAACTTCCCAGTTTACTTGTGGAGTCCAAAACACAGATCCTTCCTAATCCTAATTTAAGACTCCACGTTGATGGTAAATCTTTTCCATTTCTAACTTAAATTTTACATAATAGAACAGGAAAAAAAAACAGTATACATTTTCAATCACATGATTCTACTTTGTTAGTGAGATTCTTAGACACTCTTTGAAAGCACTTCCTCAAATGCTACTACTCTGTACAAAGTTAGAAGTGAAAAGGCATAAGAAAAGCCATATATATGACCTACCTTACAAATGCCTGGTCAAAATCTGATTATAATGTGATTTTAATAACCCACTTCTTTTCTTCTTTTCCTATTTAATGCAGAACAGACTTGGAGAATATGAACCTTAAAGTAAATCTGCAGTAAAAAAGGATATGTGCAGCTAGTTTTCCACTTTTAAAACCAAACCACAGATGACACATTTCCTTTCTGCTGCAGCTAGAGCACATGTCACAGGGAAAAGAAGAAAAAAACATTCTAACTTGTCTAGTTAGCCACTGGCATGACAGGAGGCTTTGTAGAGCAAATCCCCGCCTCCAGAGCAGGGAGGGTTCTTTGCTTAATTCCCTTTGACCTTATACTCATTCTGTGTGCCTGCTGCAAGCTTTTGAATGATATATTATTATTATTCAAAAGAGGTTTTATTTTTTTTTTTTTTTTTTTTTTTTTTTTTTTTTTTCGACAGGATTTTACATGCCGATCAAAAGAGGTTTTAAAATGGCATCTTCCCTGAAGCATAAAAATCTTCTCTAAAAATTCTATTTGTATGCTATGGACTGATTTGAAAATGTGAGTTTGGAGTCCTTGGGGTCAGATAATAGAAACAGTGATAACATAACTGACATTTTGAGTTGTGGGACTGCAACAGTGATTTGAGAAAAATGTCTAGTAAACTTAGATTATATGGGACAGAAAATGCTTTTGTGTGGTCTACTGTGTACACATATATACTACCCTTGAATGTCCTGTCATCACCTCAAATTCAGCCTTTATGTCTAAAACGGACTTTATGTTTTCTTTTAAAGCGGCTACCCCTCATGATCTCCCTGTTCCTGGTTTCTGTTCATTATGCAGAGTTCTTTGTAATCTCAGAGTCTTGTTATACAGCAGATCCTTTTAAGTCTTTCAGTCCTGATCTGACTTTGGATCATGTTGGTCCTTCCTTCCTATTTTTGGAATGTTTTCTTTTTTCCTATTTTTACTGTCACAGTATTTTTAGATCCTTATTAGGTCATACTTAGACTACCACAATAACTTTTTACTAGGCCTGATTCCTTCGTATATCGTGTATATATCATTTTCTTTGATCATATCACCTCTTTCTTTAAAGGGAAAAAAAGTTGAATAATTCCCTAATAGCTATAGCTGTGATTCAGAAATGTTTGTGCACATAAAGATCAGATGAGAAGGTTGTTTAAAAACAGTAAAAGTTTCCAGGCCCCACTACATAGATTCATATTTAATAGGTCTGGGCTGGGACCAAGAAACTTTTAATCAAGCACCACAAATTGATTCTAATGCCAGTAGTCCACAAAACACATTCTGGGAAATACTGTGCCCCAAGGAGAAAACCCACACCCCTTGCTTGAACAGTTATGGCTCCTTCTTAATTTGGCTGTTATGTATTTTCCCAGCTTTATCTCTCAAAATTTATTCCAGCTAAACTAGCTATGTCCTCAACACATGTAGTTATCACTTTACCTCTTTCCATGAGGCCTACCCAGTCTCTCCTCTTGTTAAGTTCTAAATTCTTCCTACCTCGTTCAGCAACTGTATCTTCTATGTAGCTTTCACTGACTGCCCAGTTCCTGCTGATCTCTCTCTCTTTTGAACTTAATAACAGTATTTTTCTCTGCAGGTCCTTTAATAAGTGATTACATACTACCCTCATATCGTTTATGTTAAATATTTCTCTTTTGTTTTAAAATCATTTAATTTGTCATATTTTTATCTTATTTTAAAGCTTTTTATATAATATAAATTTATGTAATTGTACATACTGATGAGGTACATGTGATATTTTGATACATGCATGCATGTGTAATGATCAAATCAGTGTAATTAGGATATCCATCACCCCAAATATTTATCTTTTTTTTGTGTGCCAGGAACATTTCATATCTTCTCTTCCAGCTATTTTGAAATATACAATAAATTATTTTTAACTATAGTCACCCTACTGTGAACACTAGAACTTGTTCCTTGTATCTAACTGTATTTTTGTATGCATTAACCCACCTTTGAGGTGAAGATATTTAGCTTCCCTTATTTAGTACTATCACCAGAGTCATCAAATATAGAAAACATTGGACCTAAGATAATAGAGGTTGTTTTGACTTGAAATTCTAGCACCATTTTTTCAGGGCTTTCTCATGGTCCTCATCATGGCTATTCACATTCATTAGCGTTCTTTTGGTTTTAAGCAACATGTGACCTAATATGGCTTAATCAAAAAATTATATTTATTGGCTTATACAACTGAATAATCCAGGGATAAATTTGACCCCAGCAGAGGCTTTAGTTTAGCACTTAAATTATATGGCCAGGGCCCCAGTTTCTCTTTTCATTTCTCAGCTCCTCTTCAGTTTTTAGGCAGGCTTTTCTTTTATGTCCCAAGATGTGAGCTAGCAACTCCCAGAGCTATGTATTCTCTATTTTATAAACACTGAAAAGTCAAGTCTCAAATCCCAACAGTTTTAGCAGAAGTCTCTGAATTGAGCCTCTTTGTCCCTAGTTGTCTTGATTTGAGTCATGTGTTCCTTGTTGAATCAGTCTCTGGTCAAGGTGGGATAAATGGATTGGCTAAAGCCATTCCAGTTCATTCCAGAGCTCCAGGCGGGTCATTCTCACTTAAACTGTTCACCTGGGAAGTTTGTGGGCCAGGAAGCAACCAGCAAATACCCATTATCTTCTTCCTTTCTTGACTGAGGGGCAAAGTTTTGATTGTTGCTAGTGCTCAAATTTTTTGAATTGGAGATTTGTCTCTTCTCTTTTCTCTTCTCTTCTCTTTTACTTTAGCCTTATTTCTCAGTGTCTGAAAAACAACTGATTTAAAAAATGAATCCAGACCTTGAATAATTGTTTTATATTTTTCTCTCTAGAAAGCTAATCAGAAAATAAAGAGATAAAATAGATTGGTGGGCCGAACGCGGTGGCTCACGCCTGTAATCCTAGCTCTTGGGAGGCCGAGACGGGCGGATTGCTCAAGGTCAGGAGTTCAAAACCAGCCTGAGCAAGAGCAAGACCCCATCTCTACTATAAATAGAAAGAAATTAATTGGCCAACTGATAATTGTGGCACATGCCTGTAGTCCCAGCTACTTGGGAGGCTGAGGCAGAAGGATCGCTCGAGCCCAGGAGTTTGAGGTTGCTGTGAGCTAGGCTAATGCCACGGCACTCACTCTAGTCTGGGCAACAAAGTGAGACTCTGTCTCAAAAAAAAAAAAAAAAAAAAAATAGATTGGTGGCATCTGTATATTTATTCAGAACTCTGTTAACAATCTGTTATTCTTTTTGTCATCTTCCTTAGGTTCAAAACTGGGCAAATCAATGGTGACTTGCTGATATATCATGTCTTGCTGACCTTAAAGCCATATTATGCAAAGCCATATGAAATTGTAGTGGACCTTACCCATACTGGGCCTAGTAATCGCTTTAAAACAGACTTTCTCTCCAAGTGGTTTGTTGTTTTTCCCGGCTTTGCTTATGACAATGTCTCTGCAGTCTATATCTATAACTGTAACTCCTGGGTCAGGGAGTACACGAAATACCATGAGCGGCTGCTCACTGGCCTCAAAGGTAGCAAAAGGCTCGTTTTCATAGACTGTCCTGGGAAACTGGCTGAGCATATAGAGCATGAACAACAGAAACTACCAGCTGCCACCTTGGCTTTAGAAGAAGACCTGAAAGTATTCCACAATGCTCTCAAGCTAGCTCACAAAGACACCAAAGTTTCTATTAAAGTAAGTTTCAATCTGTGTTTTGTAAATGACGCATTGCCTTGTTTGACTAACTAGATTATATTCTGGTCTCCCTAGGTGTTCCCATAGTTGTATATCAAATGACAAGTAAAGCATAGGCTTCTAGGGGTATGATTCTCGCTTTGAGTGTCAAACATCAAGTAAATCTAGATGTAAGAAGACCAAGACTTCTATCTTCACGGATGTCCTGTAAAAGATATGAGAGGTGTACATTTAATTATAGATTAGATTGGAGGCAGAAGAGTGTTGTAGAGAGGCCAGTTTGCTATGTGTCAGTCAAATGGTAGAAATGTGTGGAGAGTAGAAATTACCTAGTGAGAGTTCTGATTATTACATGCTTTTTTAGAGTAAGGAACATTGTCCTTCAGGATAAAATCACTACTTTTCTATAGGATTCTTGACCTGTTTTAAAAACAAAATTAATTTTTTTCTGATGTTTTTAGTTTCTTTTCAGAGCATTTATCATAGTAATTATTGAACCCATTTGAATATGTAATAGTGGTAACTCTTCCATAAATGCAAAACATAGTACTATGGTTGGTTGGTTTGGGGAGCCTCTTAGAATTCTACATAATGGAATTTAATTCTTCTGCACTCTACACTCTCACCACCACTTTCCAGGTTGGTTCTACTGCTGTTCAAGTAACCTCAGCAGAGCGAACAAAAGTCCTAGGGCAATCAGTCTTTCTAAATGATATCTATTATGCTTCGGAAATTGAAGAGATCTGCCTAGTGGATGAGAACCAGTTTACTTTAACCATTGCAAACCAGGGCACACCACTCACCTTCATGCACCAGGAGTGTGAAGCCATCGTCCAGTCTATCATTCATATCCGGACCCGCTGGGAGTTGTCGCAGCCTGACTCCATCCCCCAGCACACCAAGATTCGGCCAAAAGATGTCCCTGGGACACTGCTTAATATTGCATTACTTAATTTAGGCAGTTCAGATCCTAGTTTACGGTAAGTTTTTTAAAAAATTCATTTCAACTTTAGAGTTGGTTGCTTTTAAAATGAGACTACTTGGTAAGCTTTTAAAGCAGCCTCTACCTTAATACTGTAAGTTGGAAGGTATGCTGTGTTGGTTAACCAGTGTGACCTCATCAAGTTACGGGGTATTCACATAAACTATGGAATTCCGAATAGTGTGATTCACACTAAACCAATATATGTTCTTTCTCCAGGAAACTTTCATCTAAAACAGATACCATGGCAGATTTTTTTTCCAAAGAAAATATCCTTTTTTAGAAAATCTCCTAAATTGTTTCCCTTTCTGAGTCTTCTAATTAAGTTTTTCCATGTTTAAAAATATATCACTGTTAAGTTTCCTAACAGTCAAATCAGATTATGATGTCTGACACAAAGGAAGGCCTGATGTTCAATAACTCAGTAACATCGTTGCGTACTTTGCACTTATGTCCCTTAACAGTATTTTTGAAAGAGATCTTAGGATAAATATGTCATTGAGCAGAGTATAATTGATTCTTTTTAGGCTTAGTAATTTGAATGTTGCATGTGGAAAGAGCATGGTCTGTTGAGTCAGTAGATTCGGTTTAAACCTTGATCTCCTATTTTCTAACTATGTATGATTTTGGGCAAGGTACTAAAGTTCTCTGAGCTCTAGTTTCCTCA